TATATATTTCTCAAGTAACTCAGAGGCAAAAAAGTAACCTAATTTAAAAATTGGCAACAATCTTGCAATGGTTTGCAAACAGTTTATATACTTAAATCTTAGTTCTCAAAGCAATAATACTGAGAAATACAGTATATCCTTGATTTACAAACCCAATTCATTTTAAGGGCTGGCTGTAATTCAAGTTGGTCACAGCCTTCAAAGTCTCTCTCCTATGTAATTTTCTTCCTGGCAGTTCTCAGTGTATTTAGAGACAATGTCCCAGGACTCTTCAAAGAACCCCACACAGTAAAGGATGCTGTAATGTTTCTTCGAGAACTCTTTAAGGGTTAGATCTGTATCTGGGACCATCGGGAAGCACAAGTGTCTGGCATTTGGGTCATAACTCAATAATTGGTTCATGAGGTAAAACTAAACTTTGAGTCATAACTCAAGTTGTTTGTATGTCAGGCAGATCATAACTTGAGGGTTTACTGAAGCAGGATCTTTAAAAAGAGCTGACTGGGTCTTAATCTTGCTCATGAATGGGTTAAAGTTGGTCTTGAGGAGTGGGTTAGGTTTTATTGAAGTGGATCAGTTTCCAAAGGAGCAAGTTGTTATGACAGAACAAGCCTGGATCCTCTCCATCCACTGCTTTCTTTCTCAACATGTGACCTCTCCCCCTTTCCGTCATGTGTAGATGCTCCAACCACGAGATGTTGTCACCCAGCCAGAAAGTCCTCATCAGACCATCCAGAAGCCGAAGCCTACTTTTGGAATATTTAGCTAAGTAAATCTCTTTTTCAGTACTACCCAAAGTCAGGTGTTCTATTATAGCAAACACAAGATAGCTAAAAATACAAATCTCTTAAAAAAAAAAGGCCACTAGATGTATTAAAAAAAGACAAGCTCAAAAGCACTACTCATCTGAGAAATGGTAAAATCGGCATATATATACACAATAGAATATTATTTACCCTTGTCCTGTCATTTGCAAAAACATGCATAAATCCGGAGGATATTAAGTAAAATAAACCAGGCTCAGAAAGTCAAATACCATATGACCTTACTGACAGTAGTGGAAACTAAAAAAGCTGAACTCACAGAAGTAGACAGTAGAATATTTATTTCAGGGTAGAGGGAGAAATTTTGGGAAAAGAATACAAAATTTCACTTAGAAAGGAGAAATTAGTTCAAGAGATCTACTGTACAACTAGGTGACAGCCTAGTTAATAAAAATGTACTATAGTCTTCAAAATGTTTGAGAGTAAAGTTTAGATATTGTGCCACAAAATATGATAATGGTAAGAGTATGAAATAATGTATATGTTGAAAAACAATTTAGCCTTCCCGTAAAATATATTTTAAAACATCTATAGAGGATACATGTGTTTGTCAACTAAAGTCCTCCCACATTTTCTATTTTCCTCCATTTTTCTACATGGAATATGAGGAAACCAGTAGTTCACAAATGAGAAACTCAGGTTCTAGATTAAATGACATGATATAAGGAAATATTTTTCTATAAATGTTAATTCTTATTTGTACAAATATGGGGACAAGAGCAATGATAATAGCAACTATGTGAGTATGAGATTAGAAAAAACATCAACATTCTCATAAAATTGATTTTGTTTCAAAGTTAAAGAACTTTGATTTTGTTCTTCCTGTCTTATATTCTCACATCTATAGGATAGATTTATATGCTTAGTTTTATGTAAAACAGTCCTATTATGAGCCATTTAGCTCATCTCCAAATTTCTCAAATGTTTATGCCAAAACATTAAAAATAAATGTTTATGCTAGTGATAAACATCACTGGGCAATTTAATTCTTAACTTTTTTTTCTTAAAATTCTTATGAAATAAAACTCACATTTTAAATAGGCTCTATTGAGCACTGTCTTTACTGTATGTATAAATCTTTTTCAACTATGGTACATAATACAAATCTTACTGTGAAAATAAGCAGCTGTTGTTATTTAGCAAGATTAGTTGGAAAGTGAAATAAGGAGGTAGGAGGGTAAGCATCAATTAAATGATTCACTACACTCGGTATAGATCTTATAAATCTAAGTTAAATAGCACAGTCAAAAAGAGAGAAAGGAAAACTGGATATTCTTAATACTATAATTTTTACAAGAAATTAAGTTAAGTTATAGTCAATATTTTATGATGTAAAATGAATACAATGAAATAACAAATTTCAAATTAATTCTGTTCTTGAGACTCTACAAAACTACTTTATCCTTCAATAGTTTTATTTTGTTATCTACGTAGTTTACCCATCTCATGTCTTAAGCATTGCTTTGTTAAGGTATAGTCATCACTTGTATGTTATAAGTGAAAGGTATTAATGTGATGAAAAATTGTGGGTAGAAAACATTTTAAAAATATTTTACAAATTAAAATTTCAATCTGTCTGTTTTTAAACTTTCATATTTTTGGTAACTATTAAGTATAGGAGTATCGTACAATTATGTATTATTAACTTAATCGTATTAAGGCTACTACATGCTCTATAACTTAATCCTAGTGAAAACCTGATTAGCTGAATAATAATTCATTAATTTTCAAAATGATTGATAATCTTGCATATGTTTTGGTAGCTATTTAGGAGAACCAGAATTCACAGTTTTGTCTGCCTATCCCTAAGTTACATTATACTTGATAAACATAAAATTTAGACTTAAGAAGTTATACATTCTTTTAAAGAATATATCTGAACAATACTTGTAGTTTCGTACAGTTGTTACCTTTCAAAATATATTACACAGAAATAGATTTTTCCCTAATTTTCAAGTCCCACAGGCCATTTTATTCAAGTCTTCACCTAATTATTTTAGTATTTATGTCTAAGTACTTTTAAAAACCCTAAGTATTTTCCAATATTAATTTTGTAATACTATTGAAGTTGTGTTTGTGGCTCACAGAACATCCAGACCCAAGTGCAGAGTTTTTTTTTTTTTCAGCTTTAATTGAGTTTATTGGTACATTTTATGGATACAGTACAGTTACATTCATTGTTGGGATCTTGTACCTCTGCATGACAAGTCTTGGTTCTCATTTTTTCCCCTTGTCCCTCCCCTCCCTTCACCCCCTCCTCCCCTCCCCATCTACAACCACTTTATTTCCATCTTTCATTATCTCATATTTTTTTCTTTTCCCTTATTACCCTTCCCCTACCCATCCCACCTTCCCTACACCTTTAGCTCCTTTCTTCCCATTTCTAAATGTCAGTAACCCAAGTGCAGAGCTTTTATTACCTATCTCTTCTTAACCATTTCATTCATCAGAGCTAAATAGTTTTGGCTAAATTAGAATTTATACTGTTAATTATGTACTTAGTTTTCGACCCCTTAGTTAATAAGTATACTATAAATTTTTATTTCTTGCTCAATATTTTTTCATTGAGCAAATGGTTCCATTGATTTATTATAGTAGCTCTTTGCCATTAATTCAACTCTCAAAATCCCACAAAATAGTGGAAAATCTACTGGCTATGTAATCAAATATATTATTACACACCATCAATTTCCTCATCTGATATTCTTCAGTCTAGATTTGTTCCTTTCTAGCCCTTTGGTGTCTCTATCATTGTTCACAGTTTTTCGTGTTTTGTTTTCTTTGTTTTCAAAGAACACATGTTCAAGTGACCTTGCAAGCAAGGATGCCGGAAATGATTGTTTTGTTTTCTGGAAGCCAACAGGATCATCTTTGTTCACTCTGTGCTCAGATCTGTGTCTCCTTTGGTATGTGTTCATTTCCATCCAGTTTATCAGGCATGTGCTTATTTCTGTAATTATGGAAGCCTGTAGCAGTCCTGAGACATCGTCACTCCATCTTTTGGAAATAGAAGCTTTCTCCTCCACTTTGGACCAGAAGGATTTTGTATTTTCCTACTCTCAGAACTCTGCTGACTCAATTCCACTGCATCAACTACCCCATGATAAACAAAGCCTTGTTTGACCTTGTCTCGTTGGTCACAGAAAAAATGCAAGACATAGGCTTGGAGAAACGCATACAGTCTGTTTGCTGAACTTTTTATTCTATTAAAGTACCGTTTGCTTGTTTTTACATCAACAGGTCAAATTGACTCTTACTTTCTGATACGGATATTCCATCCCCTCTGCTTACTGTTTGACTGAGCTTTGATTATTTGAAAATTTCTGGACTGTTATGTATGGGGTATGTTACACATATATTCAACATACAAACATCTAATGCACACACATTTCCATTCTCTAGCTATGTAGCCTCACATGATACTAATGAGAAATGTCTGTTAGAGTATCACAGTCTATACCATTTGATGCTAGTTTCTTGGTCAAATCATTTCAAAGACTTTACTCCTTGCTCCTTTTATCCTGCAGACATGAAGAATAACAGACACAGAAAATCAAAAGCATAAACTTCTTGAAAACGTCAGACTTCATTTTTGTGAAATAAAAAAAGGTTTGAAAATAGCCATAGGCCTATTGCAATACATGTTCAGAGTCATCCTCAACTATCTTCCTATGAAACAATAAAGAGTAAACAACTTCCAAATCAATTTGACCCAACTCTAACCCTAAAATGCCATATTACATAATTCTATAAAGTGGTATAAATGAGTGGGTTATAATTACACTCTTCAACAAAATTGCTTAAGG